TATATTATGTCATATTTGTCGTATCGTGTCGTGTTTGTTGTTTTTTAATCGGTTCTTTGAAATTAATCTTGATGTTGGTTTTGATTTATCATGTTTTATTTTTCATTTGCTCCATTGATCCTATTTTTTGTAGCTTACCAATGAAGTTTTCTTGGTGCACCAATGTAACTGGCATTTTAACAGCCACCCACGTGTTCTTGAATATGTAGGTAGTTTAGCAATCTGTTCCTCTTTAGTATTAATGCATGTGAAACAGATGAACATGAGCTAGAAATTGGCACCCCTATTGTCATGCTTCCATAAGATGCTTATGCAAGATTTGTGGTAGGGGACTGATTTTAGTAAGCGCATATTTGGCACCCCTATTGTCATGCTTCCATAAGATGCTTATGCAAGATTTGTGGTAGGGGACTGATTTTAGTAAGCGCATATTACTTTTTGGTATTTATGTGTGAGTGATAGTCATAATTCTAGGATTGTTTGTGTTTAACATGAAACAGGTAAACGAGGTCTTTTTTACGGGGTTGTATTTTGTTTGTGACTTTGTTGTGCTTGTTTGTTTTAATATTTTTCTGACACTTTAGGTTTGTGCGAAGATGTTGTAGCCAACTTGCGAGGTCTCACCTTTGAATTGTGTGTAGGGTTGATTGTGTTGGTAATCATTAGGGCCAAGGGACATAAGCTATTCTTGCTTCAAAAAGGCTCTTTTTATGATGTCTTTGTTGTGTGTGAAGGTGTTTTCCTACATCATCCCCCCAGTAAGATACTTTAAAGGACAGGAAATTCATATTTGAATGTTTTCTTTGAACCACTCAAAAGACTTTCGAATATATGGTTAGCTTTGAAAATGTTGTAAGATTTGTAATATGGGTTACATATAATGAAACATGGTAAATCGTCTTCCCATACCATTTCTTCTTCATTCCCCTCACCATGACCATCATCATTCTCTCCCCTTTCTCCTTTTCTATCTATATTTACAAATATGTTTGTTTTCAATAGATGATCTGGTTTAAAAGACATCGACGACTCAAGATTTAATAAAAATATTTACGAATAAGTAAATATGGTATGTTTTTCATTACTTTCAGTAGAGGATCTATTGGGTAGCATCATAATCGATGGAATCATTACAAGGCTGAGGGATGGTGGATACAGAGCTTCACGCTCATACAAATTATTTCAACTTCTAAAACTTTATAATTTTATTTTAGATTCTTAATATTTTTGGTCAGAAGAGTTCATATCCATCCTATTTTAATTTTTTTTGTCAAAAGGTTATGACTTTCACTTTTATATACAGGTGATTGTCCCGATCTGAATGCTTAATTCGATCTAAAGTTTTTGTTTAGCATATTTTAAGTCGTTTCTCAACAAGCATGAATAAAAAAATATTATAACATATTTTCATTTTGATTGACAGGTTTGAATGTGCAATTTTAGAGAAGCAAATCACTTGACAGGAATTAAGCCAAAAATGAGATGCTACTTACATATTTAGGGCAAAAACAACATGATACTTCCATATTTAATCCAAATATCATGTTACTTTAATTTTGGAATTCAATCCGAGAGTTAATAACATGAGTTAATAACCTGGGTAGAAAGGATCCATTTGGAAACTACATTGTTATTTTATGTTTTATCCTGCAATTGAAATGAGGATTCTATTTATCTTTTATGCATCTGTTCGTTTCAATTTGTTATTTCGGAGATGTCTCTGTCTGGATTGGATTGTAACTTACAGCAAAACATGCTAGATGTACATATGTTTGGTTCAACATATTATTATTCAGTCTATTAGTATGATGTAATACAAACATATAAATGTAAGTATATAAGCTATCAAGGACTTGGTCAGTTTTTAAGTAACTCATCAACACATTTATTAATTATCATATAACATTAATGGTTGCATTTTCTAATCTGCTTTGGGTTTTTGCTATCAAGGGGTTATTTGGCTACTGCAATTTAAACGCGTAGTACAATTCTTTTATGAAACAAATTGACCAATGCACATTTTTGTTTAAAAAACCAAAAACCAAAGTACAATAGTGAAAAGTCCCATACATGTTGACGAAATGAAGTGGTCAAAAACGAATGGCGGCATACCTGTTTTCAGCAACCAAGTCAAGAATGAAACCAAATTGCTGAGAAACGGATATAAGCTGCTGATAATGAATGAGTGTGGTACACCATTGGTCCTTGGTTCGTATCAAATGTTTACCTTATTTTATTTGTTTACTGTATAGTTTAATAATAGTAATAGTTATTTTCTGAAAAATTCAAAACTACCCCTGCACTTTTGGTTCTTTGTTTTTTGTTAACTTACAGTTATTTAAGAGATTAATGAGTTTTGCAATTACCATTGGTACATAAGATCTTTAAAATTTCCCTTTATGAAATATAAAAAATCTATTAATTTTTAGAAGTCGAGTTTGGCTAAATTTATATTTTTATGTAAAGACCATGATGCTATTATTTTCATTGAAGTTCTAATTTATCTAAATTAAGTGGTGGAGATCTCGGTGAATAAGAAGCATATCACCTCAAAACCTATTCGCCGCCGCCGCTTTGTGCGGGTAACGACTAGTATATATATATATATATATATATATATATATATATATATATATATATATATATATATATATATATATATATATATATATATATATATATATATACCCGCGCAAAGCGGCGGACGACGAATAGTTTATTTTGGCAATTAGTTTCATTTCAACGAACAATGATTGCTTTCATTTCAATTTAGTGATTCGTTTTCTTTCTGATGGATAATGTATTTTTTTTAATGTATTTCGTCGTTTTTCGGTATGGAAAATAGTTTGATTTTCGAGAATAGTTTGCTTCAGTGATTATTTTTCTTTTGGATATTGTATAATTTCAAAGAATGTGCAACACAATAAGCGACAAACGACGAAATAATTTCTGAACGTTCTATTTAGAGGGTCACATATAGTTTGGTTTTGTGAGTTGCTACCCTTTCGGAAACATGTCATATCGTAATGAACACGTAATACATTTGCAAATATTATTTAGGATTACACTATATATCTATAATGTATGTTGTTGTTTTAGTTAAAAATAAAAATACTTTACTATTTTGTTTTAATATGATATGTATGTTGTTTGGGGTTAATAATAAAAACATGTTGGTGTTTTGGATCAGAATAAAAGTAAATTGTTTTTTATATTAAAAGCAAGTATTTTGCTATTTTTGTTTAAAATTAAAGATAATGTTTTGATTAAAAAAAAGTATATTGTTGTTTTTGGATATACAAATAAAAGTATTAGTGTATAGTGATATATGTAAGTAGTATCATTTCTATATATGGATAGTTTATGGTTTATTTAGTTTTCGATTTTTTCGGTTCCGATCCGTTTCCAGATCGGTTTACATGCATACTTTCAGTAGACGACGAATAATTTCTCTTTGGGAAATAGTTTATTCTCAACTTTGTGATTTATATAATTTGAAAATGTTAAAAGTACCTTAAATTAAGTTTGTTTTATATTTAGTTGTTATTCATAAAACAAAAAATCTAAAGTATTATAGCTAATACATAAAAACTATAGACTTAAATAAAAAAAAACAAAAAAACGAAGTGGAGTTTTCTAATCAAATACAAATTGTCAAAATTATCTCAAAAGTAGAAAAAGATTAGGGTATTTTTGCTTTAGAAATTTGAATTTGATTATCGTTAATTTATTTATTTATATTTTAAACTTTTGCTATTAAAACTAAAAAAGTTAACCATTATAAAATAAAGAAATATTTAAAATTATAGGATAAAACAAAACTATGGTAAATGTTCTCATCCTCATTAAATCTAAAGGTAGTTATGAAATTTAATTTTTGTTCTCATATATATTAAAAAAATGGTTGTCATCTACATCTTGGTTACATATCAGTAAATTATATAAATATTAGAATATAATAGAGCAAATCTAAACAGACCAATATCCTTTTGAATTGAATAACTGATTAATGTGAAACCAGGATAATAAATAATATCAAACACAAGAGAAGCATATCTAAGGATAAAATCGTCCAATCAAGCAAATTTTAGTTCCTACACATTACACAAACTAATAAAAAAACTCAAAACCAAGCTCCATGATACATCAAGCTTAGAACAGAAATAACTTTTAGTATTTAAGCGAAGTCTCCCAATAATAGACAATGTAGTTTAGGAGCATTACTTAAAATAGCAACAAAGTCTACTATCAACTCAACCTTTCAGCAGCAAAACCAGACTTTTAAAAACGACAACAAGAATAGCAACCAACTATCTCGGTGTCAAAACATCCGGCCAAGCTGATTGTACCTCAAATAACCTGTCATTGACACATACACAATCACACACATAATCCCATACACATGTACAAAGAGACCGACAACGGACAACCACAGAGACAAACCCTAACTTAACCTAACTGAAAATTAAGTATGTTGCTATTATTGGTAAAAAAACAAGCAACATTGTGTAAAAAAATGTAAGAACATAAGGAGACAGACCTCAAATTTACCTAAGTATAATGGTCACTTATCTTTGGTTAGTCCATGGGCGCACCTTAAAGATCACAACACCTCTTCATGTTTTTGAATTTGAGCATTCTACTTTCATTTCTTCCTATAGATCTTGTATTAGACCAAACTTCTCTTTAACCTGTAAATAATAGTTAATAAGCTAGGCTAAATGGGCAGAACTCAGAATTGTGTGACTGAGCTAAGGACTCAACAAACTACAAATATTCCTGTCAAACATGGATCCATAGAAAGTTTTGTGATTTAAATATACATCTTTAAATACAATCTTGAATTACTCCCTATGGTCATGTGATCGTTTTACTGTGAGATAACAAAAAACTCCCCAACTCTATTCTGCATAAATCTTGAAATATGTACAAATCTCTGAATAAAAATAAGATGGTACCTGCAAAGCAAAGAGTTGCCATCACATTGTAGAAGCCGGTTTCTAGAGGGGAGACATGTTTGCTGGACAAAAAGCTTCATCATAAAAAAAATCATGAAATTTCAAAATTGATAACCTGTAACAAAAAAAATGGATGCGAATGGATGATACCTGACGATTGGGGAGAAGGAAGGAACATGAGAAAGGAGCTGCTATTGAGTGGTGAATAACGGTGGTGGTAATAACGGCTATTAGTAGATGCAAATCAAAAACAAAGAACACTAACCAAGTTATAGAAAATTTGTTTCCATATTGAATGGAATCAGGTTTCTATTGATTGAAATTCTGAATACAGAAGTTGGAGAAATCTTAGAATCTCGATTCAACTCTACTTAATTTCTGACTTTTTGAAACAACAAATAAACAGTATCTGGAAAAAAATTGATGAGATGATCGCAAAAAATATACCTCGTCAAATTTTTAAGCTGATTTGGTTGGATTATTTCTGCTTTTGACCCTGGATGATGGTTGGGGATGACTTTTTTAACGTATTTCTCTATAAAGATCGTTCAATTGCATTATTCACTAAAGCAAAAAAGAAATAGAATAAGAAACATATCAGAGATATTAAGGGGCTTGATGGCTTTGATTGTGCGATCGTACGTGGACTTGATGGATCCGCTACATAACATCGAGGTGGCGGTGGATGTTAGAGAAAATATTAAGATGAAGAGTAGCGACACGGTAGCAGTCGTGGTGGTGGTTTACCAGACGATGGATGATTGAAGGGAACATACGATCGAAGGAGGAGAACTGTGGTTGTGGTGGTAGCCAGGGAAAGTGGTGGTGGCGGAGGGAATATGATGGCAGCTGCAAATGGTGGTTGTGAAGGTAGTGTTCGCATTGGTTGCAATAAAGGAAGGTGGTGGTGGTTGTAAACGGTGGTTGTAGTGAAGGTGGTGGTGGTGGAGAAGGGGAGTTGTGGTGGCGGGATGGGGGCTAATAGAAGCAGAGGCGGTGCGATGGGCAGATTAGGGTTTCACAAACAAAGAATATGAAATGTTGGTGCACTGGATAGGTTATAAATCGATCAAAAAGAGCAAAAAGAGGAAGGCATGCTAGATTTTGCCGAGATCTCAAGCTTCAAAACAACTCACGGATTAAAATACCCGGTCAAAAGCATAGGAAGTATATGCATAGCTTGATTATACGTTCAGCTTAAATGTTTGTATGATTTAAAATTATAAAATTATAATATTATTATTTTTGTTGGTTGTTTTACTTTTAGCTTTATGGTTTGGACGTCTTAAATCTATTTTTAGATAGTAAGGTTTATATATATATATATATATATATATATATATATTAAATTCAACTTTATGGCTAGAGTAAAACATAATAATCGGAAAATACTTGAATTTTTCAACATTGTGTATCATGTTTTATCGTTGACAACCTACTCTACTAAAATTCTTTATATAATATCATACATAAATTTTGTTAACAAGAGTAATCTACTTTCCTTTATAACGATTATAACAACAACTTCTACAACATTAATCTTTGGCAAAATATATTGACAATATCTGTCACAAAAAAATAAAAATTAGGCTCAGATCATAAAAGAGGAAAAAGAAGCTTGAAGCTTACTTTGACATTGGTATGGTATAATCGGCATTATGGAGCTTAGACGCATGTCTGGCGGAGAGAACAAAGCAATTTATGTTTCGTTAAGGATTCTTGGGGTTGTATCTCATTTATTTTATCATACAAAACATGACCATCATAACACAACCCATGGACAGGCTAGTATCCTCAAAATTGAAATCCAAGAAAAAGCCTTGGATTTTGTGACATCACACTATAAATAAAAACATAATTAAATTGAGTATATACAATTCCCAAACTTATAGAAACAAATAAGAATTACCTCCATGTTTTGAATGGTAAGAAATCAACAAATAACTTCAAAAGAACTAACATCTTTGTACCTGAGCTTGTTTAGCAGTTCCTAGAAGTGCAAGTTACATCAATTTCATCTCTTTCTTCACTTTATCAGGTTCAACCACTGAATCTTCACATTCATTTTGACTTCTATGTTAGTATATGAACTGAAAAATTCTTCTAATCTCATGACTTTTTTGTTGAATTTTCTCCGTACCCAGGAAAATTCATACATATAAGAAGCTAAAATTGGATCCATTTGAAATTGACTCTAACTTTGGGACAAAAAGAATGAGAGGTGATTACAAAACTTCATCATTGGATGATTTTTCCAGGTATGTGTCCTCTACTCTCAGCAGGAGAGGAGCTCTTTTTGGTTAGAAGTATAAATAACTATTAAATTTTATACATATTAAGGCTAAAAATATAAAATTTGGGTCCTGGCCTGCTGTTCTCCAATTTTTATACATATTATACTTTCGACCCTCCCAAAACAAAAGTTAAATCTCCGCCACTGACTCTCAGTACAAACTTCTCGCCTTTAGACCTGTTCCAATTCAAATCTCTGTTTTGGAAGTAGAGTGTTTTCATTTCAATTAAGGAGAAACGGTTATTCGAACATGCAACAACCAACCTGGCGTGAAATACCATACCAAGAGGCTTACTATACTTCGCTTGTTATTAAACAGCTTCTGTATGAAACACACTTCCGTGTATAGCTTTTGTCCTGCTTTTATCACACAAAGAACACAAAATTGTGTTGTATGTTACAATGTCAGGTGTTACAGACATTTTATCGAACACACTAAATGCTTTATTGATCTCACCCGCCCTATAATACCCACTAATCATAACAATGTAAGTTATTACATCAACATATTGCAAGATTATGGCACAAATTAGTAAAAAGAATTCTGTAACAATCGATTAAAAATGATTATATGAGAACCAGAGGTCGAAGTTAAGAAAAAGGTGGAGAAAAATGAATCTTACGAAAGAAAAGCGACAAAACGTGAAGAAGAAACGAATATATAAAAAGATGGTTGGATCAGTGAAGAAGATGAAGCTACCATGAATAACCAGGGACGACGATGGAAATTTTTGGATAGAAGCGGTGATTTGACGAGATTTAGGCACACAAGGATAACAAATTGAATAGAATCCTCGTTTTAAGGAAGGAATACTTCTAGGGTGGTGGTGATGAGAGCCTTCCTGCATTTTCTCTGAGAAAGATTAAAGGCAGAAAGAAGGTAAAGAAGACGGTGAAGAGAAGGCATCTAGGATTTTCAGAGAGGGTTGATTAGTGGTGGTGGTAGGTAGTTTCGGAGAGACGATTGTAGCGAGTACAAAAGGAAAGTGATTTGATTATGCATCTGATTTTAAGGATATGTGATTTTCATATTGAACTGTCATTTTTGATGTTTGAATATTTACTATACTAATCTTTTGGCTGATTATAAGGATTTCAAATTCAAATTGATTTAATGGCCATTTCCTAATTACAGAAGGGCATAATCAGAAAATCACTTAGGTAAAAAAAGCGGGAAAGTAAGCTGGAGGGGAGTGGAAGTATTGACACGTGTCATGTTTGTACTCATTTATTAGATTAGGAGATATATAAGACAAAACTTCATAAATGGTCCCTGTGGTATTTCGAAATCTGAAGTTTCGTTCCTAATTTTAATATACCTCACAGATGGTCCATGTGGTTTCAAAACTTTTGATGTTTGGTCCTTATGCCTAACTCCATTACCGTTAAGTGAAGGGCATTTTCGTCATTTCAATACCCTAGGGAAAATTTATAAAGTTTTGCCTTATTTAAAAAGAAAAAAGAAAAAAAAAATATAATTATTTAATATAAAAGGGTCCCACATCTATCTCTATATATATCCACCATTTACCATCTTTATCTCGAGCTCCTCTCTCAAGATTCAAGGGTCTCACAATCTCCATTGAAAAGTCACTTACTCTCTCTCTGGTTATTCAACTCACAAGATTTGTATCCTTATTCTTTATTCAATCCCAGTTCAGATTACGCTCATTTATCACCACCTTATATTTCTCCAATCAATTTAGGGTTCAACAGTTGGGTATGGTCCAAAGTGGTGTTGTGATTGCTGACTTTTGCTCTATTCTTCAAAGATCTTATTTCGGCGACGACATTTTGAAGCAAAGAGGTGGAGATAGAAGAGAACTTACGTATGGAATATGATCTATATCAAATGAGCTAGTGAAAGGGTTGCGAGACTACATATCTCGTTCCAACAATGGTGTAGAGATGAGGTATCTCTGTTGTCTTTGCTTGTAATTCCAAGGGTGTTCGTCAGTGGATGTGGGTCTATGACTACTACGTTTGATCTCTAGTGACATCGAGATAAAAGGGAACGAGAGGTGTTGTGATCGAGTTTTATTCCAACTGGTAACCAATATATGAAATCCGGAGAGGTAGAAGGGAGGGGGGATGAACCTGGGGAATCCTCGGATATGGTTTGTTTTCTTTTGGTTGCCGGAGAAGAAGATGACGGTAAGCATTTGCAGGTGGACCTGTGAATCTTCTAAAACCCATCTCCCAACCCCTCAATTCACCTCCTAGATTTATGATTTTCGATTTGGGTTTATAGGTCTGGTGAGTGTTAACTTTTTTCTTGTATTGATTTGGTGTATACAGTGTCTATGATTCAAAGAGAGGGATAAAAGGGGTCCAGTTTTCCATCGTCTACATGTTTATTGAGTTGTTTGTGTGCTTGTGTGCTTGAGCTGGGTTTTTGTTTGGATTTTTTATTCAGATTCTGAAACTATACAGAGAAACTCAATTATACAGGTACCCGATTTTTTTTGGATCATCCTTGTCTTCATGGATTTTTTATTTTACAACTATAGAGAGAGAAACACATTTGAAGAACACGAAGACCATTTGCATTGTTGAAGTGGAGAGAGATGTAAGATTTTGCAGGCGGAGTTTCAATGTTTTTGTAACGAAAAATATAAGCTTTTTAGACTTATGATTCTTCTAAAACTCGTCTTAGTGTGGAGTTCTTATTTAAATTATCCCTTTGTATGTTCGTGTGTGTTTTTATTTGGGATTTTATATGCTTTGTGTGACGAGATGAACTCCCGCATCCGCTCATCAATCGGCTCAGTGCCTGCACCTGAGCCTGAACCCGAACCCGAACCCGAACCTCCTTCCCGAGTGCTCATCACCATACCGGGAACAACATGCAAATGATCAGAACCTACCCAAGAATCCTCATCCCACAGGCTTCCTAGATTCTCCGAAACTCTCCCCGATTCGAGTATGGATCCTGTGCTTTCAGTAGTACGAGCCCAATACTACCTTCCACACCTATCCATACTTTCCTCAAGAATCATCCCAAATCCTCTAAGTCACATTCTCAAACTAATACACCAAGTCCTCTCTAAGCAACACAACTAAACCCTATTAAGCACTTATTAGGCTTTCCTAGGTTTCCGACCTCAACTTGCCATCAGCTGCTGAAAAACTCCCCATAATGTCAATTAACCACCTCATCAAAATACAGTCACATGTAACAAAACTTAGATAATCCTTCGAGTAAAATAATCATCCATACAACGGTTAGACTCAAACGAAAGCTACGCAATAGTGTCAAATTCATCACTCTGAGATTATTCAAGCTTTGTCACATGTGACTTAACATATTTACTTAGTAGCTAACTCACATCACTTAAGATTTCCACAAAGCACAAGGCAAGTAACATTCACGTAGTAGCACTCCATTCCATAGAATAATCAAAGAACATTCAAACTCATATACTACAACGCATACTAGGAACTTCCATTCTCTCTGCCGGTTACCTTATGCATGCAAATTATACACAGTATATGATCAAATAGACTGTCGAATAAAAGACTCTACCCTAGGACCACAACCAAACGAGGAACAGGAAATATGGCCAAATCAATCATTCTAGGGCTATATG